TCCAAAGAAATGGGGATGAACTAAGTGGAAGGAGGGAAATTGGGTTTATGAGCATATACATCAGGTGAAGAGAAAAAGGTGTGAGGGGATAACAAACTGGAAATTTTTTTTTAAATTATCATTTATTTAATTTTATTTATTCATTCATTTATTTTAATATGACCAGAGAGAGAGAGAAAGGGAAAGGGAGAAAGGAAGTCGCCAGGGCTGGAACTCGAACCGTGGTCTGTCATTTGGTAATTTCCAGCACCTTAACCACCACGCCACCTGCTGGTCCCCAAACTAGAAAATTTTGATTAGGATACACTGTTAGTATGATTCTATTGGAGAGGAAGTTTACTCAGTTTGAACAATAACATCAAAACTCAAAATGCAATTGAAACTCTCCTTAAAAGTAATAATCCTCCTATGATGCCACAGTACTTCTGACTCTCTAGGAAAAAATGTTATGTGGACTCAGCTTTGAAATTTTGTTTTCACATAATCCTTAAACGCTAGTAAATGCTTGGTTAAATGGAGCATGACTACGTTAAAAGAACCAAATTAATATTTCAGAGACTGACGATTACATATTTTCACTTACTGTGTGCTTTGTACTTTATTTATTTATTTACTTATGGTTTTTGCCATAGGGTGCATGTGCTTGCCCAAGAAAGACAAAGATACAAAGGGGGAATGTGAGATATCACCCCCAGGGGGAATGGCCATGCCACAATCCCTTCTCCTCCACTCTCCTTTCAGGATTTTGGGCATGCATGCACATATACCCATCATGATTTTCAAACTATTTGGTCTGGGACTCCAGTCGTGGTTGGCCAACTTGTAGTCCAGCACCTCAACTACCACTACACCTGCTGGCCCCAGGAAATGTGTTATTTATTTATTATTTATACATTCAATTGCTATACATCATTTAGATTGTAAAGAGAATTTACCCAGCATGAAATACACTTCAGACCTGTCCAGTAGAGAATACTATATATGTCATCAGCAACAGGTAATAAGCCATTTCTGTGTTTTTTAAAGGGTGTTACCTGTTTGGTCTGCTTTCCAGAGAGCAGAGCAACAGCTGGTAAACAAAAGTGTAGCTATTATTCTGCTAATATTGATGCTATGATATTAAGTCATATAAGATAATTAGTATTTGACTATTTTGTACCTAAAAGATGATAATTTCACAAGATTCTACCTAATATGACTGTACCTCAGATCACTGCAATAAAGTGAATATTGTAATAAAGGGAATCACATAAAATTTTGGGTTTCCAGAGCAAAAGAAGTTAAATTTACACTGTACTGTAGTCTATTAAGTGTTCAATAGTATTATGTCTAAAAAAGTACATACCTTTTTTTTTTAAGAGGTTTTTGCTATAGGGCGAGTGCACTCGCCAGACAGACAGAGAGACAGAAAGCGAGAAATCACCCCCCAGGGGGATGGCCACGCTGCAATCCCTTCTCCTCCATTCTCCTCTTGGGAACACATGCACACGCATCTGGTGTGAGTTTTAAGCCACCGGGTCCGGGACGCGAACAGCAGTCGACTACATGGGAATCCAGCGACATAGCCTTTACGCTAATTGCTGGTCCCAAAAAGTGCATACTTTAATTTAAAAATATGGCTAAAAAAAATCCTAACAGTTATCTGAGTCTCCAGTGAATCATAAACTTCTGTGCTCATGGAGGATCCTGCCTCGAAATTGATCACTGCTGACGGGTCAGGGTGAAGGCTGGGATGGCTGTGGAATTTCCTAAAATAAGACAACAGTTCGCCTTATCAATGATCTCTTCCTTTCACAGAATATTTCTCTGGGTCCAGCTGGTAGCATGGTGGTTAATGCAGCTGGATCCTTCATGGCTGAACATGCAGTTTGAGTCCTGGACCTGGAAGCTTGAGAAACATGCTGGGCATGTGTACATGTGTGCCCAAAATTCTAAAATGAGAACGGAAGAGAAGGAATTGTGGCACAACAATTCCCATGGGCTGGGGGTGTGCTTTCTCACTTTGCTTCTCTTGCTTTCTCTCTTTCCAGTAAGTGCATATAACCTCTGGCTAAATTAAAAAAAAATAAGAAAGAAAAAGAAAAAAAGGTTTCTCTGTAGCTTGTGATGCTGTAGAACTTTCAAAAATGGAACCAATCTTCTCTAATTCTGCTGCTGGTTTATTAACTAAGTTTACATAGTATTCTAAATCTTCTGTTGTCATTTAAACAATGTTCATGGTATTTTGACCAAGAATAGATTCCATCTCAGGAAACCAATTATTTTGTTCATTCATAAAAAGTAACTTCTCATCCACTTAGGTCTTATCATGTGATTATAGCAATTCAGTCATATTTTCAAGCTCCACTTCTTTCTTTTCTTTTTTTAAAATTTTAAAATTAGCAAGAAGACATATGCACTCACTAGAGAGAGGGAATGTGAGAAATCATCCCCTATGGGAGATGGTCATGCCCCCTCCTCTATTCTCCTTTTGAGATTTGGGGTATGCACTTACATGTACCCAGTGTGTCTCTTAAGCTCTGGGTTTGGGACTTGAACTACACAATTGGCTGTGTAGGATCAAGCTGCCTTAACCACCATGCCACCAGCTGGCCCAGAAAGCTCCACTTCTAATTATAATTTTCTTGCTATTTTTACCACATCTGCTATTACTTCTCCACTGAAGTCCTGAATCCCTCCAAGGCATCCATGAGGACTGGAATTAAATTCTAAACACCTGTTAGTGTTGATGTTTTGACCCCTTCCCTGAAATCACAAATGTTTTTCAATGGTATCTAGAGTGGTGAATCCTTTCCAGAGGGTTTTCAATTAACTTTGTTCAGATCCATCAGAGGAATCATTACCCATGGCAGCTATAGTTTTACAAAATATATTTATTAAATAATAATTCTTAACAGTTGAAATTATTTCTTGTTCAATATTATTCCCCCTCCACGGGCTGCAGAATGAATGTTGTGTTAGTGGACATGAAAGCAACATTAATCTCTCTGTACACCTGTATCAGAGCTCTTGGGTGACCAGGCACACTGTCAGTGAACAATAATATTTTGAAAGGATTATTTTTCTCTAAGCAGTAGGTTTTAACAATAGGCATAATATATTTGGTAAACCATGTTATAAACATGTTCTATCATCCAGGTTTTGTGGTTTCACTTATAGAGCACAGACAGAGTGATTTGGCATAATTATTATGGCCCTAAGGTATTCACAATGGTAAATAAACATTGGCCTCAACTTCAAGTCAGCAGCTGCATTAGCCCCTAACAAGATAGTCAGTCTGTCCTTTGAAGTTTTGAAGCCAGGCATTGATTTCTCTTCTCTAGTTATGAAAATCCTAGATGGTATTTTCTTCTAATAGAGTAGAAGGCTGTTACATCTACACTGAAGATCTGTTGTTAGTGTGGCTACCTTCATCGATGACTTTAGCTAGATCTTTTGGATAACTTGCTATAGCTTCCACATCAGCATTTGTTTCTTTGCCTTTCACTTTTGTTTCGGAGACAGATTCATTCTTTAAACCTCATGAATCAATCTCTGATAACTTCATACTTTCCTTCAACAGCTTCCTCACCTTACAGCTGTCATAGAATTGAAGAGAGTTAGGACCTTGTTCTGGATTAGACTTTGTCTCGAGGAAATGCTGTGGCTGGTTTGATCTTTTATATATACCACGCATTTATACCAGTGATAAGACTGTTTGCTTTCTTCTCATTTTGTGTGTTCACTGGAGTATCACTTTAAATGTCCCTCAAGAACTTTCCCTTTGCATTCACAACTTGACTAATGTTTGGTTAAAGAGGCCTACCTTTGAGTCTGTCTGAGCTTTGGACATACCTTCCCTACTAAGCCAGTCATTTCTAGCCCTTGATTTAAAGTTAGAGATGTATACTCTTCCATTCACTTGAATAGTTATAGTCCATTGTAGGATTATCAGATGACCTAATTTGAATACTTTTCTGTCCCAGAGAATTGGAAGACCCATGGAGAGGAAGATTGACAGGGGAACTTCTGGGCAGTGGAGCTGACAGAACATATAACATGTGTTGATTAAGTAAGTACACAATCTTACATGGGTACTGATCATGAGAACCCAAAACAATTACAAAGGTAACATCAAAGATCACTGATCACAGGGCACCATAACATATATAATAATAATGAAAAGTTTATTATTGTGAAACAGAGACACAAAGTGAATATATGCTATAAAAAATGATGCTAATGGAATTGACTGATACAGGATTGCCACAAACATTCAATTTGTAAAAAATGTGCAATATTTGGAAAGCACAATGAAGTGAAGCTCAGTAATTATATAACCACAGGGGTAGTTTGAATTCTTGATCCTAGTTCTTCATGTTCTGCAGTAATATATATACATCTATATTCTTGTCATAGTTCCATCATAGACACAGCGTATGTCCCTGCTCCTTGACTTTGGGTTTGCCATGGAATTTGCTTTGAACAATGGAATATTAACATGCTTTGTCATTCTGTGCCTCTGTATCAGGAAAAGTATATATTGCCAGGTGGCTCCTGCACATTCATACTGGGTCCAGAATGATAGATATATTATCTTGCTTCTAAAAAGGGACCTGGGACAGGGTTGTAGGGACCTAGGTCCTTTCTACCTTCTTGAGGTTGTCATCTGCAGGTTGTTTGGATTTGGGATTGCAATCTCGGGGCCATTATAAAAGCCTGCCTTGTAACAAGCCATTATACAGAGGATGGTAAAGAGCTAACACGGGAGAAACCTGTGTACACATACTGTCATAGAACTGAGATCATCAACTCTAAAACAGCCCTATATGTACACTTCTGGATGGATGAGATAATAAATATTCTCATTTTTAAAGCCTCTTTGTTTGGGTTTCTATTACCTAGCAACTGTTAGCATCCCAATAGATTACTCAGGAATCATACATGTCATAACTTTTCATTGCTAGAGATGTTGAAGGTTGTAAAAAGTTATAAGGGAAAAATTGAACAATTATCCTTACCTTACAGATGGAGTGCCTTTTCAGGGTTGGTTAGAAGATGATGTTGGAATTGACACTTAGAAAATTGGATCAAGTCTGACTTCTTTGGGCCTTAACCAATCATTTAGGTTCATCACCAAACTCTGTCTTGTGTTATTCTCACCTTTTGAGTGTTCTTTCCTTGAAGAAAGAAAACAAATCTAAAGGTATAGAAATTGTGTATTATATATTTTGCTGGTTAGGGGCTTATAAATGAGGCCAATTCATAATTAATACCCATGCTCAGCTTGCACCCATCTGCCACCTACTGTAGGAAAAAAGTAACACTGTATAGTTGAAGCAAAGTCTTTGGAGTTCAATAGTCCTGAGTTCAAGTCTTGGTTAGCTGGGTGACCTTATGAAAGCCACTTAATATCTTTGAGGCTTGACTTTTTCATCTTTAAAGTAGGGATAATGATATAGCTTTCAAGTTTTGGGAATGAAGTGTAAAGTATCTGGCACATAATAGGTGCTCCGTAAATCATTTTATTCATCTTTACTCACTACCAGAGAAAGATGTACCTTTGGTTATAAAGAGGAGTAGGCTAAAAAATAATGAGTGGTTGGGCTTGGAAAAGTCCTTGCCCTGCTGGGAAGGTCAAGATCAAGTATTTTCATAAACCAGAACCAAAACAGGCCATCCTGAAAGGTATTATGTGTTCTCAGGAAGAAAAGCAGGATATTAACAGACAGAAGTATCATAGCTAGCCTCACCTCTGCCTCCTAAGCCATGTATTTATTTTTAATGTAAAATAAACAGCAACCAAGTCATCTCTGAATATAGCAAGTTATTTTTAGATTCTCCTGTCATTCAAACTCAGGAGCTATACTGCTTTCTCTCATGACTATTCTAAATGCCATCTTTTTCCCCAGGATGTTTCTCCTGGTAAAGGTAAGATTGCATTTTGGTTGTCTTGAATTTGGTGATGTCAGTTCTGCACACACACACACACACATACACATGCATGTACACACACACACAACTTCTTTTTTTTTTTTTCACACACAACTTCTAATGGCAAGAGTCAAAGGCTGTCTGAAAGAATCTAAGCTGCATGGAACAAACTGAAACTTCTTGTCCCCTGTGAAATCCCTGACACTGACTCCTCTTGGCTTCCTTTTATCTTTCCTTCATCTTCCAACTAGTGCCTGAAAATCAGGAATTGTCTTTGGGCTGCATGAACTAATGCCCTGGATCACAGGTCAGGCAGCTTACCATGCTCAGTGCACAGATCACTAGCTAGAATGGGGCCTCTGGATGAAGAGTAGACTCGAGGTAAATCTCAACTCGTAGATTTTTTTGTAAAGGGAAAACTTACACATAGAACTCTTACCACACATTCATCATGTGTTAATTAGCATCATGGGAAACAAGAATACAGTAGTAAGTGAAATTCTGAATTCATGGAGCTTGCATTCTATGTTAGAGAGACATGATAACTGGAGAAAATAGGTGCAGCTACAGTATTAGAGATCTAGAAAACAGATAAAGCAGGAAAAAAAGATAGTGTATATGAAAAGAGTTTCGTTATTTTTTAAAAAGAATTATTTTTTTATTAATTAAAAAAATTTTTTGAGAGGTTTTTGCTATAGGGTGTGTGCGCTCATCAGAGAGACAGAAAGAGACAGAGAGACAGAAAGTGAGAAATCACCACCCGGGGGGATGGCCACGCCACAATCCCTTCTCCTCTATTCTCCTCTCAGGATCTTGGGCATGCACGCACACGTGCCCGGTGTGAATTTAAGCCACCAGGTCTGGGACTCAAACTGTGGTCGACTACATGGGAGTCTAGTGACATAGACATCATGCCAACTACTGTCCCGAAAGAATGATTTTATTTAAGTTTATTTATTTATTTTAATTTGACCAGGGAGTGACAGAGCAAAAGCAAGAGAGAGTAAAAGAGTGAGTGAGAGAGAGCATGAAAAAGCAAGCTGCCAGGTCCGAGACTAGAACCAGGATTGGCCGTGTAGGAGTCCAGCACCCACCTGCTGGCCCCAAGTTTTGTCATTATATGCAGGATAGTTGGTAAAGTCTTAACAACTAATGTTTTAGAAAAGACTTGGGACTAGAGGTGAGATCTAGGAAAAAGGATTTTGGGCAGAATAGTCAGCATAAAGGCCTTGATGTAGAAATATACCTGGCATGCTGAAGAAAAAACCAAGGCTGGTAAGGCTGGGGCAGAATTAACAAGAGGCATTAGAGGATATAGAAACATGAAAAATAGTGATAGATACTGGATACAGTGGGAAGAGGGGGGGAGAAGGAAGAGAGTATGAGGAAAGACATTAAAGAGAAAAATAGAGAGGCAAGACATTTATGGGACACAGAAATGGATTATTATCTGTTTATCATAATGTGTATAGTATCCCCAAATGGCCTGATATGAAGGAGATTCATGTCGGAAAATTCACTTTATATGTTAAGTGATGTATAGTGACTGAACGTATAAAAGAAAACTGAAAATAAAGAAATGCAAAATAAAATTAAATAAATAATTCTTTAAAAAGGTTATTAAAAAATTAAGAGGCACCATCAGACAGTATCAGAGAGATAATGTGGTCAGATGGGTGAGGCCTTGTAGCACTGTAAGGACTTGAGTTTTCACTCTGAGCAGAATGGGAAGTTGTTGGTCAGTTGTGAGCAGTGGAGTGACAAGATGTGACTAGTTAAAAAGGTTCCTCCAGATATTGTGGTGAGAATAGAGAATACACAGGGACAAGGGTAGAATCAAGGAGAACATTGTAATCATCCAAATGAGACATGATGGTGACATGGACCATGGTGATGGCTGTATATGGTGGGCAGAAGTAAAGATATTCCATTTTACATTTTAAAGGTAGAGACAACAGAATTTCTTGTCAACTTGGGCATGGAGTATGAGAACAGTAGAGGAATCAGCAGAGTCCAAGGCTTGGGCTTGGGCATCTGGAAGGATCAAGCTGCTGTCAACTGGAAAGCAGAAGACTGGCTAGAACAGGGTTTAGCAGAAAAGAGCAGAACCTCAATTTGGGATGAATTTGAGATGCCTTTAGACATCCAGGTGGGAATGGGGGAGATTTCTGAGTAGCTGCTTGTATAGATCTGGCATTCAAAGGTCTTGAATATACTCTTTTTTTTTTTTTTTTTTTGAGAGTTTTTTTGCTATAGGGCACGTGCGGTCGCCAGGAAGACAGAGAGAGACAGAGAGACAGAAAGCGAGAAATCACCCCCCAGGGGGGATGGTCATGCCGCACATGCCACAATCCCTTCTCCTCCATTCTCCTCTCGGCATTTTGGGCGCGCACGCACACATGCCCGGCGTGAGTTTTAAGCCACCGGGTCCAGGACGCGAACCGTGGTTGACTACGTGGGAGTCCAGCGTCATAGCCATTACACTAACTGCTGGTCCCTTGAATATACTCTAGTACAATGATCTTGAGGACCCTTGTCTAGTGTTTGGAGCAGAGCATGATGCTCAATACATCAGTTTCCTTTCTTTTCAAAATCCTTGACTCTCAAATTTTGTTCATAAATACTGTACAGAAGACTCCCAAGTCAAAACTGAGCTGTAATACTATGTGACTTCTCTTTATCCATACAAGTCTGAAGTTGCTTTATAAAAAATAAATGTCTTAATCAGAGACCAAGTTGATTTTTTTCCAACTCAGCTTTATCAAGAGGATGACATAACCATGGAAGCAATTTCTTTTTCTTCCTTCCAAAGTAGTAGGCAGCAAAAAGACTCAACACCCTCGTTTAGTGTTCTCTGAATGTTCCCTCTCTAGTTCTTAAAACATACATCTTACATTAGGGGATGCTTCCCTCTTTGGGCCTCTCCAGGTAGCTAACCTTCACTTTCTCCTCTCCTCCTCCCATAGCCATATATTTGGTTTCATCTCTCCTGCCCCAGGACAATGTTCTTCTTTGCCCTCTCCTTTCTCTAGGATCCCCTATCCTCAACCAATCTCCCTAATCTCTGGACCTACTCATTCACTGAGGACCCTTTTCCCCAGCCTCCTTCAAATATGGAGTTCTGATGTTCTTAGACAAAGTGGCAAGGAATTATTTTTAAAAGTCTACTGTAATTTGCTCCTGAGAGCAGAACTGCTGGAAGAGTCTGAGATAGTTCAATGCCCTCTGGGCATCTGAGTAGTTGAGGTGGTTATAAGAAACTCTCTGGAGTTTCTACCTTCAGGGGCAGTATGTGTACTTGCCCTGCAGATCACTTTAGTCTGCAGAATGTAGCCATGAATCAAGAGCCATCCATGATTCTGTTCAGAAAGAAACATCTTGCCAGTAGTTATTTTGGGGTGGAAAGTTTCATCAGAGGCCAGCTGCTGGAGTTTCAGACTCTGAAGCTAGTCCCTGAAGTTTGGAGAAAATACATCTAGTGGAAGAAAGAAGGAGGGGCAGCAAGGGCTTCAAGAGGCAGCAAAGCCTTCTTATCTTCTGACTCCTGTCTGTGCAACAGGAAGAGATATTGCAGAAGGTCAGGGCCCTTGACTTTCCTTCCCGCTTTCATGCTTGGTGCTGTCTCACGAAAGTCCTCATTTCCTAGGATCCACTCTAAACAGGAGGCACTTGATGTTTCCTGAAAGGCTCTTTGGCTTTTACATGACAGGTGTATCTCGTGGTAGGAACAACAGCTCAAGCGCGGCCAGGTCTTGTCAAATGGGCTTCTGGTCTTCCCTCCTATTCAGCTGATCCTTGGCGCCAAGTGAGCATCTGGGAAACTGGGCATGGAAGTAATCTCACCCTTTGTTCGATAACTAGCAGACGCACAGGCGAGACAAGCCAGGAGCACAGCCAATTCCCTGAAGGAATATGGGCAGAGATCATGCCAAAAGGAGGAGCAGGAGGCAGGATCCTGAGCACTGCCACCAGTGCACCAAGCCAAGCTGGCATCCTTGGCATCTGGCATGGGCTCTGGGTCTCTGACCCCCCCTTCTATTCCATCCTTCCTGAGGATTTATTAAGACTGTTTAGGGGAACACAGAAGGCTTTTTATAGGCATTGTAGTGCAGCCTCGGAAAGGTTGCTGAAAACAAAAAAAATATTTCTGGAGTGGAAAGATCTTTAGAAATGTCCTTGCCAAAATGTTTTATTTAGTTTTTCATCACGGGACATATTTAGGCAGGGAGGATTTTCCTAACACCTT